CCCTGTCCTACTATTAAAATCTCCTAGTATAATAGTGTTCCCATGTTGAGAATAGTTTGCAATATTATTTTCTAGTCTAGTGAAGAAATCTGGCATGCAGTGTTTTGAATTCATTGGTGGGTGATACACATAGCACAAATAGATATCCTCTTCTAAGTTGAACTTGCACTAAAGCATGTCTTCAGAGTCTACATCTTCAATTTTGATACCTTTCTTGGTTTGTTCGTTTATTAGTATTGATAGTCCTCCACCTGGCTGTTTACTTCTTATTATTGAGTGACTGTAGTATCCTGGTATGTTGAGTGTATTCAGAGAGTCCTTGTTCAGCCAAGTTTCCCCTAGACCTATTATATCATGGTTTTCTATGCATTTTATGAAGTCATTATCTTCTATTTTTTGTCTTATACCCTGTACATTCCAATATGATATGGAGAGTCCTCGTTTTCCAATCTGTTTATGGTGTTTTGGTTTTCTTGTGTAACACATCTTAAGTTCTGAAATGTGATCTTTGATCATATGCTCTTAACCGATTGGTGTAGGTATAATGATTATTGGCATGGAAGGATGGGCCTCGAGTGAACACTGTTTTTGATAGATCTGATTTGTTCTCTGGTCATTGTGGTATTTTGTGTTGAGTTCATTGTTGTATCTAGAATTTAGTCTGTCATATCTTCTGGCATGTCGATTCACACCAATCAGAGGTGCAATGGTGCTTTTCATGTTTCTTACCAAAATTGCAGTTCCATGATTGTTAATGACGTTGGATATTATTGTTATCTATGTAGTGTTTCATAATATCTTCATTCACTAAAGATGTGCTTTCATCTCTTTTACAGACTTCATTTTTTCTTGTTTTGTTTTCCAATATTTTGTTTATTTTCTGAATTTCTTTTGACTGTTGAGATAGACTGTCTTCAATATTTTTCAGCTGGTCTGTTTGTTCTTGGGTTAATGTTTCAGTTTTCATAATAGTGCAGTAATTATCATCAATTTGTTGGATAGTTTTAAACATGTGGCTCAGGGTAGCTGCCAATTCACTGTTGTCTAATGATCCTCTGTTATTTAATGCAGGTGAACTTGATGTCAAGCATGGAATTTTGGACGGTGTGTTTAGATGCTTGAGTTTAGAGTCTGATCTTTGTGGTGTGGCAGCATAACTAGTTGATGACTTTTGTTTTTTATCAGTAGGTGTGACTGTATGATTTTCTTTCACTTTGGATTGTGTGGTTGTAAACATCTTTGTTTTCTTAGAACCCTTACTTGGAGATTGCATGTCATTTGTGTTTGTTTGGTCTGTCATACATGTAATCTCATCGTCATCAGAGATGTCATCCCTGTATTTCAGAGGCTTTTGTACATTTCTTTGTGGATATCTTCTCTCAGAATCTATGTTTGTTAGATGTTATCTTTAGTTGCAGCTTACCCTGAATGTATTTGAGTAGCATGGTTCCTTCATTCATTATCCATGAGATATATGAATTACCCTGGATTAATAAGGTACCATTGTGGTAGACTTTGATTGTTACTGTATTGACACGAACTGGCACAACGAGTTCACGCATATTTTACGCACTTCCCGTATTGGCACGACGAGTTTGCGCATTTCGGACTGAGATGTTCGTGAATTAACTTTTCGTGAACTTTTCGTGGCAGGATTTTTTTCAAGCATTGTCATAGAATTTGTTTTTCAAAAAATCTTCCTGGTTCCCCCAGAATATCAAATGGTCCGCCCCCTAACCGTTTTAAAAAAGTACATTTTTGGTGTAAATTTGGTCTAAAAATGAAAAAAAGTCACCTCCAAAATGAAGATATATGTTTTAGCAACAAAGCAATGTAATTCATATTCGTGGTAAAATTACGGTCTAAAAACCACATTGGCGTCATCCGCTTACTAGAAAATCATACGCCTAACCTAAGCTCAAAGAAGTCTGGTTGATAATCCCAATCAAGTATTAAAATTAACAACGTGTGTGGCTAACAACGCCCTCTGCGACTAGTCTTTGTATTTTCCCAGTATGTGTATTCTTCGAAGACGTGTAATAATATACTAAAAATATAGTCTTTCAATTTTTCAATTAAAAATACTTTCTACTGGATAATTTTAATGGAATAAAAAACAAAAGTGTAATGGCTATATTCCGCTTGCGCGAAGCTCTTATACACACTAATATTACACGAATACCGGTCGTAGTAATGTAACACTTTGGCTGACTAGACATGTCAGAAAATGGTTTTGGCGATACATAAATAGCATAATACATTTTAGTAGTAAGTTATTTCTTTGGTGACATATGACTTGTACAGGAGTGCATCAGTTGTGGTAAGTATCGAAATTTATTTTTTTCGAAAATTTATTGGATTCGAAAAGCTGTGTCCCAATAACAAACCGTGTACTACTACTAACCCTTTATTGACGTGACACGGAAGCAACGCGACATGAATCACGTTAGAGTTATGTTCCAGTCCACAGTCGTAGTATAACCAGCCGTCTAACCACAAATGTTCTGCTAAACATAGACGATTGCAATGTGATGGGCATACTATAGATAAAGTATGTCAGTAATAAATCGGAGGTCATTAAATTATTGAATAACCTATATGTATTGTATACAGCTAGGGCAGGGGTTACTTGGTGTGACTAGCCCTGAGTATAGACCGGCGATTCGACACCATGTGAAGGGCTGCATCAGGCTATTTAAATGGCATTCTGCTTCCCAGCTAAAAAATAAGCAGGTCGACACGTCTAAATATCCCAAATATCTTACCTGGAAACGAAATTACAGAAGATTTCCCACTAGGGTCGATAAAAACAACATTTTCCAACGTCAACAGAAAATGTAGGCCGCCATCTTGTTCTTGACGTATTTATAAACAAAACGTCGTTTCGTTGCGTAAAATTAGCTTTCGCCAACGTTCCAGTGCTGTAGGTTCATTTTCGGCCACAAGAAAGGTATTTATGATCGCTAGATTGGTCAATAGACGTTTGGCTGATTACAATCATGAAAACTGCTAAAAGTTTCTCCGCCATAAATGTGTAGACTGGTGTTGAATCGCCAGTCTATACGACTTCTCAGGACTGTGGGGACCGAATGATCAGCAGAAGAAGGCCAACCTACAGTGCTGTACTCAGGGCTAGGTGTGACCATGGAGGTAGAAAATAGAAGGAGTGAGAACGCTATTGTTTCCGCTGGTTTCATGATGCTTTGGATTTATTTACTCAGTACACATTTGTAATTATGTAATTATTATGTAATTATTTGGCAAACACGCTGTCAAGTGTCACCGTTAATCGGCTTACGTGTTTCGGCTGTATTCGGAAACTTCACGAATATTCTTGACGCACTGCGCATGCCCAAACAGATAACAATAATACAAAATGCAACGAAAGACTTTCGCTGAGTGTACTCAATGCCCCAAATCTATTGCAACAAAAGGTGCGATTTTCAACATCTGCACAGTTCTGCACACCGATGAAAATGCCCTGTCGAAACATCTTGTTATAAATTTATCATGTATCTTTAAATTTCACTGCGGAAATTTGCGGGATTTTGTTAATCAATGTCCAAAGTTGGACGACTATTTCAATTAAAAATATCAGAAAAGAAGTAATCACACATCTTGGAAGCGTCCGTATGCAGAATTTCCGGTACCTACAAGTGTGAAATGACCTTTGTGATCCGATAATTCTTATATTTATGGTTTGCGCATTCAATTTTATAGAGGATGTTTAAACGGAATTTATTTTTTTCAGTTCTATTCCCGTTTTCTTGTGTACATAAGCGGCTATCATCATGTAGATAAAACGATCCTAAACAAAAACAATAAGTGACTTAACCAGAGCGAAGACAAAGGATGTTTATAAGATTAACATGGTGTGACTCAAGTAAAGGGACTAAGGGGGGGGGGTCATTTATGGTGTATACATGTAGACACTGTAGATTTATAATAGGAGAGCACTGTCAAATTTGATTGTAACTGATAACAAGATGCGCTATAGTTTTGATCATTCAAGGGCAAATTAAAAAACATGTTCTATCCGAAGTGAGCATAAACACACGCTTCTTCTTTCTGATGTGAGTTAATTTAACACAGTCACTGGAGGACTGAAAAACCAAACAAATTGATCAGCACATTTATGAGTGTGAAGACAGCGTAAGGTTCGATTCGCGTTTGATTCACTGTTTATTCGCATTAGATTTACATCAGGGATTGAAATAGAATTTTTTCTCTGCATGCATAGTATGCATGTTGAATTTGAAATTTACCTGCACTAACTTGTTGTGAAATGCACCATTTTTAAAGTTTAAATCAAATTTACGGGTTCTCGATTGATGCAATCACAAAAGAATTTGATTTTTTTTAGTTGTCTCACAATGTTGGTTGAACTTAATTTAGGCTTAGTGAATATAATGAGATATATATATTTTGTGCAGGAAAAATAGGGATCAACCTATTTCTTTTGAAGAAAATCATGGTTATAAATAGTCCCACAGTCTCGCTCACATCAGAAATCACATGGGCTCAAACAAGTATAAAATAGCCCTAAAAACAGACGAGAAACACATAAATACATGTATGTTTAAAAGAACATGAATCTTATGTAAAAAATATATTGTCTCAAATTATCACCACTCAATTTAAAAAACTAATAAATTTTTGATAACAAGAACGTTGATGTTTTTATTTATAATCATTGCCCTTTGACCTTCCGAGCATTCAAAGACGCGTCAAAGAACTGTCATGCGCACTATGAAAGTATTTATAACCTTGATTTCCACAGAAAATAGTAAATTGATCTCTATTTTTCTGCAAAAAAATGTTGTTAAATTAGCTGAAATTGCTATGTATCAACATTTGAGTGAATTATAGGTATTTCAAAGGGAGTATCAATCATGCGTCAATCGAACACGAATCAAAATGTATGCTGTCTTCACACTCGTTAATTATTTTCTGATTTTTAATCGCTGTTTCTCTCTGAAAGTCAGTTTGTCCCTTTGTATATGTTGTGCTTGTGATGCAAGATTTTTTTTATATCAAACATTCATTTTCAGTTTGCAAAGGATAACTTATTCAAATTGTTTTGGGACATTTTCTGAACCGCCAACTCTCCTGCCACCCTACACACATATACTGGCTCAGGTCAGGGTCGACAACCCAATTTCTCAGTGTAAATGTTTCATTTTATTCCAGCTCTTACTTGAATCATTGATCACTGAACTGAGTGTTCTTGTGTGAAAGTAGTTGTGACCATCACATTATATTATATTTTTATATTCACAGTCTCATTTTAACTACTCTGTGTAACAAGTTCTCTATAATCTGTAAGTAAAGAGTATGGTCATGATGGATGACAATTCACATCCTAAGTTATTGAGGCAAGGCTCTGGCAGTAAAATGGCACTCAAAGAGAAGATAGTGCAAATATATGAAGCATTTTTTAAGGTAATTATGACTGTATGTATGCACTCATTTCAGATTACCCATGGATGTGGTTTAGGCTTAATTCATAAATATTTAAATAGAAAACTGCAGCAAACACAACAAATATTACCATCACTGGTGTAGATGGATATAATTTTGAAATGTCATCATCCATCATCTCCTTGTTGTTGTTTCATTTTATTTTATTATATATTTCCATTTCTAACTACTGTTTAGTCTGTTTTTGGTTGTCCTTTAAACCATAATAATAATAATAATAATAATAATAATAAAGATAATTTATTGCATCCTTAGAAATACAGTGTTTCCATCAGTTTATAGCAACAAAAGTAAGATATTAAAAATAACAAAATAACTATAGCAAATAATAAATGATAGATTTTAGTGTTTTGTTAAGTATCTTTCTCGTTTCTCATTAAGAACGAGCTGTGTATAAATTCTCCAACAAGTTTGATTACATTTGTGTTAGAATTTTTCATTAAGTATGTAAATTTCTGTTGGTCAGTTTTTGTTTCATCAGGAAACTGTATATTTCAGAATATATCCATTCGCAGTGTGTTATATTTTGGGCATTTGATGAGGAGATGCATTTCATCTTCTATGTCTGCTAAAGTACATTGTTTACAAATCCTGTTTTCCAAAGAAATTTTAGGTTGGGTATGTCTACCCTTTTCTATTGCTAGGCTGTGATTACTTGTTCGGAATCTAGAGACAGAAATTCTATGTTTTAGATTCAGTATAATTAAGTAACTTTCAAAGTTGTAGTTTGTTTTGAATTGAGTATATGTTCTCAACTTAGGTTTATCCATAATTGTCTCCTTCCAGAATTCAATATATTTTTGTTTATTGTTTCCTATTCTCTTTATATTTTGTTTTGTTGCATTCAATAAGCCATTGTAATTTTTATTTGTAATTTTCTTTTGTAATCTTTAACCTCCTTCAGTTGGTTGTTATGAGTTAATAATTACTTTACTGTTGGCATAGAGAATCTAATCTTTCTGTTTGAATTAATCTACATTTATGAATACATGTATTTACAAGAATCTGTAATATGCTATGAGTGCATTGCAGTAGTACATGTACATGTGTTAGTACATTTACGTACAGTATCAAACACAACACAATGTCACGACTAACATTTTAAAATTCTGTTAAGTAGGAATGGTAAATAAAGTAAATAAACATAAGAGAGGTATGTAAGGGGGTCTAAAAACTTACTCTCCGACACGATTGTGCGACTCGCCAAATGTTATTATTGCACTCTGTGAATGGCTCGCAGTGTCACTATGCGATGAGCATGATTCCCTTGGTTTGTGGTTGGTTTGGCGAAAAGCGTGAATCCCAATGGTTGATCGATGCCCATTCTTTATTTAAGTGTTTTTACTGTATGCCTTATAGAAAAATTAAGTTTTAAATGGTTATTTTGCCGACTGCTCACACACTACGATAAACAAATGTGTAAACACTATGTACCAACGACATGTCCACTGTTTGGTGATCGACAAGCATTCCTGCGTTTGACTAGACTGGCACAGTTGGGACTGCTTTTTAGTTTTGTCACATAAAAACGATAACCAAGAGTTCGTAAAAGCAGTTTCACAGTTCTCATTTTCTTTGCTCCCATGGCCGTGAATAACCCTATACTAGTTCAAAGTTGCATGGGAATGCCAGCTCGATGTCACATTGATAAATTGTAACAGTCTTGCTGTGATTTTATTACAGTGTCGGCGTCTGTGTTGTTTCGTTGTTGTGCAGCCTAGTTACAGTGTCGGCGTCTGTGTTCTTTCGTTGTTGTGCAGCCTAGTTACCGTATTGGCGTCTGTATTCATTCGTTGTTGTGCAGCCTAGTTACAGTGTTGGCGTCTGTGTTCTTTCGTTGTTGTGCAGCCTAGTTACAGTGCCGGCGTCTGTATTCTTCGTTGTTGTGCAGCCTAGTTACAGTGCCGGCGTCTGTATTCTTCGTTGTTGTGCAGCCTAGTTACAGTGTCGGCGTCTGTGTTCTTTCGTTGTTGTGCAGCCTAGTTACCGTATTGTCGTCTGTATTCATTCGTTGTTGTGCAGCCTAGTTACAGTGTCGGCGTCTGTGTTCTTTCGTTGTTGTGCAGCCTAGTTACCGTATTGTCGTCTGTATTCTTCGTTGTTGTGCAGCCTAGTTACAGTGTCGGCGTCTGTGTTCTTTCGTTGTTGTGCAGCCTAGTTACCGTATTGGCGTCTGTATTCATTCGTTGTTGTGCAGCCTAGTTACAGTGTTGGCGTCTGTGTTCTTTCGTTGTTGTGCAGCCTAGTTACAGTGCCGGCGTCTGTATTCTTCGTTGTTGTGCAGCCTAGTTACAGTGTCGGCGTCTGTGTTCTTTCGTTGTTGTGCAGCCTAGTTACAGTGCCGGCGTCTGTATTCTTCGTTGTTGTGCAGCCTAG